AAGGCTGGTTAAGTGCTATGGCGTTAAAGTTCTAACGGGCCGAACTGTCGGTGAAACAAATGCAGGCTTCTGCGTGTTGCTCTGGAATTGGAGCACCGCTGCGTAGTGTGGCTACATCTGACTCTTGCGGAGACTGGAGGAATCGTGACGAAACAATGTCCTTCAGACTGTTTTTCTGCAACAGCGCTGCAAGCCTTGGGAGGCAGATCCTCCTCCAGGCCCAGGCATTGAATTATTTGAACTGTTTACTACATTCATTCGGAACTAACTTAGAGCATTCAAAATATTTGGGTTTCTATACCAGGGTCTCTGGGAAGGCCAGTTTGTACCCTGCATCCTATTCAAATCGTCTTTCAAAACAATACAATAGTCTGAATTGAACAGCCATGCGTACCCTTCTAGGGCTCCATTTGGAGATGCCTTGGTCTCATCCACGTGCAACAGCCCTGCAGAGCAGCTCCCTGCAGTGACTCCAGCCGCTCGTCCACTCTTCTGCTGCCTCGATAGAGCCTCACCCGTGGTCCACGACGACTCGCCTCCCTTTTCACCCCTGTATTCTCCCCCATGGGGGCTGCGTTTGAATTGTATGTATTTGCAGTGAGACGACTCACCTCTAGTCTGTCACATGCATCGCTGCAACTGTCCCTAAGTTTCACAACCTGGATTAGCGAGCTCGAAAACTGTCAAGTACTAATCGTGGGTATTTGAAGGCCTTTACGTATCCGCTTCACAGCAGACAACGTCTGCAAATCTAACCCCACCCGCCTACTTCACAGTACTCACAGAGAAGCCTCTCCATTTCCTTCACAATCTCTCTGGACTTTTCAACATCTTCTTGAGGAACACCCGGTGCGAAATCCGCACTTTTGTTCTTCTTGCGGCAATAGAACGCCTGACNACATCTTCTTGAGGAACACCCGGTGCGAAATCCGCACTTTTGTTCTTCTTGCGGCAATAGAACGCCTGACGCAGCAGGCCGGTAAGAGTTCGACCTCCCGCGTCTTCGTTACTATGTGCAGCCAGACGCGCAGCAATCAAGTCGGTCACCAGCACCTCATCGGCTCTTTCCAACGCTCTTTTGTTCCCTAGGGCAAATGGGGGGTCTGCGGGGGGAGTGGCTTGTAGCCATCTTGGATGGGATCAGAACCCTCCATACACGGATCTGGTGTGGGGGGTCTGTGAAAAGCATCATCTATATGGGGGGCCCACGATTCATCGTCAGCGATGTCACTATCTCCCGCGGAGCCTTATTGGCCCTCAGCATCGGCACGATCCGATTCACTTTCTTTAAGAAATTCAACAATGGGATTAGGATCTACGCCATCAGGCTTGCTGCAAATCCACACAATACAAACGCAATAGGCCGACTCACCTTTGTTCAGTCGCATGCACTGCCGTGCTTAAACTACACCTAATCTTACAACCGTGTTCATTGCAAACCTGGGTTAGCGAGCTAGAAAGCTGTCAAGTACTAATCGTAGTTTTTCGAAGAGCTTAAAGTGCCAGCTTCACAGAAGACAGTCTTTCTGCAAATATAAACCCACCTGCCAACTCCACGGTGCACATAGAGAAGCTTCTCCATTTCCTTCACAAGGTCTTTGAGCCTGTCAATGAGTTCCTGCGGAACATCTTCTCCGAATTCTGCATTTTTGTTCTTCTGACGGCAATAGTATGCCTGATTCAACAGGCCGCGAAGGGTTCGCCCTCCGGCGGCTTCGCTACTCCCTCCTTCCATACCCGCGGCAATCAAGTCGGTCACCTCCTGCATTTCGGCGGCTCTTTCCTCCGCTTCTTTCTTCGTCAGGGTGACTGCGGGTTCTGGCTCGGGCAGTGGCTGGCCGGCATTTGGGGTGGGAACAGTACCATCGTCAAACGGATCTGGTGTGGGGGTCCTGTGGAAACCATCGTCCATGTTCGAGAGCGGGTCATCACCGTATCTATCAGGGTCCAGAGTGAGTTGCCCGAGTTCATCGGTAGGGGTTGCGTCATCATCTTCCTGTCCTTCTGCACCACCGATGGCAGCCAATTCCTCATCTTCCTCACTCTCTTCGCCACCGCCTCCTATTGCCTCCTCCAGCTTGTCGCATTCATCTTGCTCCTTGTCTTTGTCCGCAAGCCGACGTCTGGTCGCTCCGCCAGCCTCCTGCGAGGAGGTCAACCGCTGAATGCACTTCAGGAGTAGGAACAACGTTGTGGCGAGCGCTACGACGAGTCCAACTCCCAACGCACGGCGGATTGAAGGAGAGGCTCCTTTGAGCGGCGCGTCTAGGATCTGTTCCTGCACTGCATCTTCAACTGTATTTTCAATAGTGAGCGGGGAAGAATTTCCGTTGCCATCGGGATCGACAGCAGTGGACAACCCTGGCAGCGAGACGGCCAGATATGCTACAGCAGCAGCGTAAGCAGTACTGGGCAACATCTTATGATCCTGCAAAATGTCCTTCACACGCGTAAAAAAAAATAAATAAATGCCCAGTGAAAGCAATTTCTTAAAATGATGAGTACGGCGGCATACAGGAA